TTTTATGCTTTCTGTTACACCCTCAATCTATTTCAAGAAACTGGTTACACATCTTACTTAGAATTCGTGTTTTTTGACTCTGTAGATTTGCGATTTTCAATAATGAGATGTATGCTTCAATGCTCCTTTCGATTTTCGTCGTTGCCATTTAGATTTATTCGCATTTAGTTTCAACTTTCAGGTTTCAACTCAGATGTTCTCAGGTTTCGAGCCACACTTCTGGACTGTCGGTTTTACACGGCTAGCATTTCGCTATTGCAAAACATCGGCTAAAACTTTTTGCTCGTCCAATGTAATGATATATAGCTTTCCGAAACGTCCAATTTATCCATCGGACTCAATTTCTGTTCGCAGTTTGTCAGTCATACGGTATCAAAATAGATGCACTGTCAGAACTGGTCGTCCGCTGTTCAACGATATGTTCGAAATGAACTGGTTGAAGGGAAGTTCGGTTCGGTAGGCCATTGAGGTGCCTCTTACACCCCCACATGTACTTCCTCAGCAATAATCCCTCTCTCTTTAAGGTTCACTTCTCCACTCTTGTGTACAGTTAATTTATTTTCGACTTTAATCACGCTTCCAGTTTGTTCAAAGGTCACATGGTCTTACGTTACTTGTCCTTCTCATTTTTTCTGTAAATAGGTCACTCGAATATTCAATGAGGTAATTCTTATGTCCTCATAATTACCGTATGCTTCAGTTACTAGCATATATTTAAGTGTAAAGGGAGAGATTCGAATGTGTGGGTGAGGAATGATAAGCAAAGCTAAATAGGCGAATAAACGGGTGGAAGCACAAACAGCACTCTGCGATGTTATTGGAAGAGCCAAGAAATGGAAGCGACAAATCAGCGAGACAAGTTGCATGAAGATACGACTTTCGTTGGACCAAAACTGTTCAACTGGGTTTTAAGAGAGAGCAAATGGTCTCTTGGTGTGAATGGTTTCAGATACATCGCAGGATGAGCTGAAGAAATTCGCTTGGGCATCGTGGGAAGAATTTTCATAAACGACGGAATCTTGTCGTGAATATTCAAACAGCCTCTATTCCA